TATATTTAAAAATTAAAGCAAACATGTTTATAACTCGCTTGGCCATACATGGGACATAATAAGCATTTAGCACAGGCATTTAAAACAGTGGAATACTGTGGGTTAACCCAGCATCACATGTTTTCATAAAATTTGTGTTGTATTATTTTTTAGCATCAGTTAAAGAGTTACTCCAAGCACTATAACCACTACAGCTCACTGAAGTGATTATGATGCCAAGAGTACACCCTGGCGTGTGTTTGCAACAATTTGCCCTCTTACCTGGGTTCCGCTGGATGCAGAGGGTACTCTCCTGGTGGGTTTGTGGTGACATCCAGAGTCTGCAGAGCTGCAGAAGCCAGATGTCAATCATTAACTGAGAGCATCAGCTGGTCATTCTCAGCTAAAATAGATATATGCATTGACATTACCCAGCCTGGAACTTTGGCTAATGATGCCCAATTACACTGCTAGGGGTGGAGTTAAAACTCTGCAACAAAGGATTAAACTTAGTATATGCAGCGTTTTATAGAAAAATGTTGGACATACAAACATTAGGCACCATAACAACTTCCCATCACATAAAGAGTCATGATACTGGGAGTGACCCTTTCTACTTCTGTTTCTACTACTACTACTACTGTTTCTTGCTCTACAGAAAGTGATGCAATTGAAAAGTGAATTCTTTAATAACTGAATAAAAATATTAATAAAGCATTGTTTGCTTTTTTGATTTATATGTAAAGAAAAGCTGAAACTAACCCCCTGGTCACTGACCAGAAAATATAACCGATAGCGAAAAGAGTTGTGATAGTAATAGCTCCTTCCAAGCGGTTTCTGCTAGACTTTAAGTTTATCCCCCCTGCAAGTATACAGTTTAAACAACAGTAGCACCAAATTGGGAATTGTGACATTTGATTTCCGCCCTTTAAAATGCAAGAAAGATTCCCTTTACTGTTTGGCCCTGTAGACTGTCTAGGGTCCATTGAAGGCACCTGGTGCTGTCAGTGTTTGTTTATTCTGATACAAGTTGGAATTTTCCAAACCGTGACTCTTGCCTGAGCCCAGAATGTCTGTTGCTGCGCTATGCTGTTGACCTGAATCATAACTTGACCTCACTATGGAACACATGCTCCCACAGGCAGGAACCAGGTGGCTACAGGTGTGCATGGTTATATATCTCTGCAAGAGGGAGGGTGTAGGGGGATGGACGAATGAGATAACTTTCCAACTAGCATTGTAAACAACTTTGATGCAATTTCTCAAACTCTGATAGGAGTTAAAGTTCACAGCCTCATGAAGATACCCCTTAACCACTTAATGATGATAGAGTTTACATGTGGCCATTAAAACATGCTACCTATTTAGGGTAATGCATGTGTTGTGTATATAAGGACTGCTTCAGAAGAATAGCACCTGAGATCTGCTGGTAAAACTTGCATATATAAAGTGAGTCAACATAAAACCGATACAATGAAAATAAAATTCACAACTGTGCGTGAAATCTAAAGAATGACTATGATTTTGTACAACTTGTCTTGCATCCAGTAGCATAATATTGTTTGTGGGACCCATATAAGCCTCTATTAAGGAGCTTCCATTTATATTCCTTTGTAGCCTTGATAATCTGCTGGAGCTGGAATGTTTGCTTATGAAGATAAAAATCTTTGTCAGTACTTTGTCTTAGTCTGGTAGAGAAAGATAATGCCAATGTACGATGTCATAACCAAGTGCATTGTGTCACACTCAGACACTGGCACTGCACATGGTACTTGACCATGAAGGAGTATGGGCAGAGATCTCTGCTAGCAAAAACACAATTCTCTATTCCCTCTGAGTTTTTTTTGGCAGTTACACAAATGGCTCCTTGACCTTGTGCTACATGGTACACAGGCTGTGGGTACTTGCGCTATTATTTATTGTTTATCACTTCTTCTCACTGTTAGAAAACAGCATAGTGACAAAATGTTGAAAAAATCCAACAGCATAGACTGGCACTGCAAAAACAAAAGCTATTTATTTTTCAGATTAAGCATTCTTGGCAGCAAACGTCACGTTAAATGCAAATTCCAAATAAAAAGAAAACATTTCTCAATAGCTTGGAGACTGGAGAAACAAAACATAAAGTTTAGCAGACAGTCTAAAGCAGTGAAGCTCCCACTGAATCCAGCATCTGTTGCTCGTGACCAAGGCACCAGATTAAGATATAAACACTTTAGGAGACACTGTACATAAACGATTCAGTACATTTAAAGCGCTTGCAGATATTTTTAGTATATTGTGCACAACAGCTGGAATCATTCAATACTTTAGAATAAAATAAGTAACAATTATAATTTTGTTAAAAAAAAAAGTTAACCTTTCCAGGGGATGTTTCCCCGTGCAACGTTTCATTAAAGAGCTGTCAGATTCACTGCGCTGAGTGCCTGGACCAGATTTGATTTGCTGGAACCTGTTACTATGGGTTGGGTTGTGGAATACCACGACTGTACTTTGGATTATATGCTTTAAGGAGTTTGATCCCTTTAGGAGTCCGTTGTAGTGGAGCTCCAATACCTGTACTAGGTATCTTCGCTGAATATCCTTGAAGATGGGACAAGTGAATAGTGCTATTCCCCAGCAACTAGACGACACATAGTGCTGGGAGTACAACTGTCTTTATTGAACCGAATGCAGCCTTTTTTGCTTAGACCCCCAGCATGGGTTCTCTATTCAATACATACAGTGCCCGCCCAGGCGCCTCTGTGTCCGGGAGATGATTGAGTTGCTGCTTGCTAATAAAGACACACAGGAACCCCACATATTATACATCCCAGGATAGCTCTCTCAGCGCCGATGTTGGCAAAATCTCACCCGAGTCCATGAAGAGATGGCAAATCGCCACCGGGGTAAAGTTTTGACCGGCTGCACTCTTAGTCTATGCCCAAAAGAGTTCCAGCACAATTAGGGCTTTGGCCAGTCAAATATCTGGAGCTCCTGCAGCCAAATGAAAGGGGGCTTTCCCTGGCTCTCCAGGAGCGATTGTTCCATTTCGTTTGTAGTATCTTCCCTCCAAATAGCGCTCTCCTGGCAGGTTGGGAAGTTGGGTAAAACAGTGGGACAAGATGACCGGGAACCGCAAGGAGAAGAAGCTGAGTTACAGTTCCATCTGGTTTGCGGCCAAGTGCCCCTCGAGACCTTTTGGTAGATTGTAGACGAATTACTGCCAGGGAGAAGGCGCTCTCGGAAATAACGTTCGGGAAAAGGGTAAGCATTGAACCAGGGGTAGTAATAGCCCTTTTGGGGAAAAGGTATGGGAAACATCCGCTTTACTGGAAATTCTATTAATTTGTAGGCTGCAGTCCATTAATCTTTTAGTTTGGTGCATCCACACCATTTGTGACCATGTGATCCTTAGTCTTCAACTTAACCTAAAGTGAGATGGAAAAATGTGAATTTAACCATTGGGGATCAAGTACCAACTCAATAGTAGCATGTATATGAATTCTGTATGATTTGTACAGTGCATCACATTACCTGGGTTTTGTAGTACATGATTAAACTCATTTTCTGACTGCATGTGCCCTTTATCGTTGTTCCATAATACCTTTATGTATACACTGTAGCTGGGTATGCTTAGTTGGGATGAGGAATGCACCAAGTAAAGCTACTTGGGAAGTGCCATCATTTTAATAGTGCCACATCTTCCCACCCATGGTAGATTGTTAGTTCCATTACAAGAAATCAAATGTAGCTTATTAGCCAAAAGATACTTGCTCAGAACATTATGTTTTTGTAAAGCCACATGTCTAGATATTGTTGGAAATCCTTCTTCCACTTGTATTTGTATATTGTTTATAGCATATTTATTATGTCTTCGAGTAGATTAATATTGATAACCTAAACCTTATGGTGGTTAAATAACGGTACAAAAGGTGGCTGTATTCATCCGATGTTCTATAAAGAATAGGTAATGCACTACCATATCAGTCTGTGCATCAATGACACAATACAAGGGTTTCCAGAGTAAGGGTTGGGGAAAGTGTACATCCTTGTCTTGGCCCATTTGTAATGATAACATTCTTAAAGAATTTGCCTACTGATAAAAGTTGTGAAATTCTGTCAGGTTCTGGTGAGTTCCCATGTGGCAGTTCCCCCCTCACTAATGGAACCTTCTGCCTATAATATTGGTTATAGTAAACCTTATAGGAGTTCAGTTGGTATACTAAGTATATTAGCATTCTTCAGAGATGACCAGGTTTGTTCAGTAAGAAAGGAATGCTGGAGTTCACCCGTTTTAACTCAAGATGTATTTGCCAGGAGGTTATGTGGCTCATTAGATTTCTCGTAAAAAAGAACATGTTGGTGTTGGTGTCGGATTAGCTCTTTAACCAATGTAAATTTTCCGTTCTAAGTGTTTACCACAAGACAGTCTCCTAAGAGTCTCCAAGGTTTCCTATTCGGACAGCAGCTTGTTATATTGTTCTGTTATCCACCTTTTTTCCATAGCAGTTATTATTTTTTATTTTGGCCTCTAATCATAGCTTCATGGGCCATCTACTGTGACATAGCTGATACATCAGTAGATATATATATATATATATATATATATAGTACGTTTAAAATATTCTGATATACTTACTTAAATTAGATCATGTACCTCTCTCAATTTGAGTAAATAATTAATTATCTAATTTCCCTGCCTCCATTCACAAATTTCTTCCTAAGAGACAATATGACCGTAAAATCACTCCACATGTCTAGTTTATATTTTACAGAAGCAACATTATCTAGTAGCATGTTTGAAATAAAAAATAATCTAGCCTTGAAAATATTAAATGACTTAGAAAAAAAAGATTATTTCCTCACTCGCAGACCTCCAATCCTGCACATTTGTGAAAACTGGTAACATTGCATTATTTTGGTAAGATCAGTGCACGAATGCTTCCGCAACTGGCAAATACAATTGAGAGTTTTACTGTATCACCAAGGAATCTAAAAGAGGATCCAGATTAAAGTCCCCACTTAATATTACTTTGCCATTACATATCGTTAGTTTTCTTTGCGGCTTCTTCTAAAGTTGACAGTTGGTTATGTGCAGGTAAGTATACATTGATGAATGTAACAGAATCCTGAAGTGATCCCAACAGCATGGACACACTGCCCCGCTTAACATCTTGCATGGTGAATTGTGAAGATGTGTGCAAGAAAACAGAAGTATCTCTGTTTCTGTAGCTAAGAGAATTAAACGCTATCTGAGATTGCTTATCTAGAATATGGTAAGTTTCCCTTTGGCTAGGTGCAACTCTTGTAAACATAGCACCCATATGTTTTTCTTCTCCTCTATAAGGATTTGGTGCACCAAGCAAAGGCGAAGGCTTGGTCGGAATTGGGGCTGCCATGGCGTTAATAGCACGTTATCTGGGATAGACACATTTCACAGCTTCAGGATTTGAATCCATTCATCCATTTAATCAATATTCTTTATGGTGCCATTCCTTCTTATCACTAGTTTGGGTGGGAAACCGCATTATTCAGAAGACCTTTCATGTGGTCAGTGAAAGCATCAGAGTCTATGATCGCTGCTATACTCTCATAGTCCTACGGCACCAATATAGGTGATAAGGTCTCATGTCATAAAAAAGTTTCCGAAGGTCCCCACCTTCCCTGCTTATCCTTCAATACCAAACTTTCATTACTTGCCACAAAACTATTCTCTGTTGCTTTCTGTAGTTCCGAGTGTCATTTAATTTCCCTGGTAAGTGTAGCTCCCCTGAGATCCATACATCCACTCCAAGCCACCCCTCCACCACAAAGATGCCATTATTTAAAACTTTAAAAATATTATTTTATGTTTTTCTTTTCTTTTCTCCTATTTTTCTTTTTCTTTTAGTAGGTTTTTATTCTAATATGCATATTATAGTTGTATGCATTCATTTTAATTGCTGTCTAAAAATGGATTTGCCCCTTTAGGCAATTTACTGTATTTATAAACTCCTCTCAGGTCAGGTTGCAATCACCTTCATTGTTGGAACATATATTCATGTAACTCAGCTAAATGGCTTCAGGCTACTTTCCCATCAACAACTCTTTCAACCTGTCATTGTTTTCCCCCTGCAACCAACCATCACTGTCATGAAATATATGCTATATACTGTAATTCAGAGCATTACATGGTCCTATCAATATACTGAACAGTATCTCTTAAACTGGTCAAACTGCATGATCTCATCTTTTTGGACAGGCATGTCAAGTATCCTGCCTCAGGGCATTATGTGGCCATCTCTCTCCGGAGATGTAGCTCCTTTGTATCTGATTTCTTGTGAAACTTAGCACCATGGAAAACTACTATACAAAAGTTCCCATAAAGGTTGCTTAAACGAAATTATATATGTATACATATTACATTAAACAATGAACATTCATTGGGCTTTATATTTCCTTAGAATAATGAGCATATATATGTATCTATCTTTAGATAAAGGGTTTTATTCACTAAGTAGTGAATTCTGCATTGACAACATAATTATGAACATAATTATACATAATTATTAACATAATTATATTCCCATCTATGCTGTTTCTGCTCTAAATTCTGCAGTTTGGTTACATGTTAATAAAAAGTTAATGCTTAGTAAATAACCCACTAGGACATAGACGTGTTTATTTACAGGATGCAATTTAACAACTTAGAATAGATTTTTTTTACATTTATTATAAATGTATTTTGAATCCAGCAAATAAAAGTATTTATATTTTAACTCCATGTCAAGGCATTTAATTATAATCCACATTTTACATGGTTGGTATCTTAGCCCAAGAATAGGTCTGTATAATTTTGTAAAACAAATTCCCAAGATAAGCACTTTTGAAGTACCTTTCTCACATGTGAGATTTTTTATCTTTTTTTTGCATAACCAAGATTGCTAACTAAATGTTAGCTATTAGTTGTACTGAGGGCTAGCGCTACAATGGAACTTCTAGGGTGGTAGAGGTTGCAAGTGCAACTGAGCTTCTTGTGTTTCGCCTGTGAAGGGGCCCATGAGCTGGCCGGTTGGCCACCTTATGTCCCCCCAGGAGATGGCCACTTTACCTAAACGGCAGGCACAGCCATGACAGTGGGCCTCACATTCCAAATTTGCACATATACATATATAGAGAGAGATTTCAACTCAAAGTGTCAGCGCTTAGCGGGTCTACCCCTAGCACAAATTGTTGGGGTACCACAACTTTTCAAATATAATTGAACAAAAGAAACAACTTATCGTAGTAATATAACAGCTTCCTCTCGGGATGTTCCAGACCTTATCCAGTAAAAATAGAATGTGCATATGGATAGCAGTGGAGTATAGCTGATAATCTACAGAAAGAAAAACGGTACAATAGTGTGATACTGTAAATTAACAATAAAACTGTGCCAATATAAATTGAACTCACAAGATGTGGATAGTGAGATCGCCTTAGGGTGCCTCCCCTTAGATGTTTGGGGGGTATATCTAGAACTCTCTCTCAGCTGGTTGGTGTTGTCGCCACAATATGGAAGTCCAGATTACGGAAATGGTAAAAAATTATCTGCTTTATTATATTTGTATAAAGGATAAAATACAAATGTGGTCCTACACGTTTCATCTTACATAAGACTTCCTCAGGGACCCAGTAATAAAAAACAAATTTGTATATATAAAATATCTTAACAAAAGGACAAAATAGCAGCATAACCCTTCCCTCCACAGTCCTTCTAGTTTTCAAACTAAGATAATCCCCTTAAGAGATTTGTATTTTGTTATAATGGATCTTTAAGGTTTGTGTTTCCATGGATTTCTGGAATGGGATATTTATTCCCCAAAGGGTTCCTAATATTTAAAAAGTCTTTTTGTTATTGTATACACTATTATATACACTATATCCATCTATGTGAGGGGTTTAGGTTCTGTGGATATACATGCTTTTTTCATGTTTTTATGTGTCTGTATGTTTCACATTAATTTAGACAATTATGTGGCAATACTCCCTAGTCTTATAAAATATTATTTTATATATGTTGCCATTTTGTGTTTTGTTTTTTTTTACTGTGGATATGGTACATCTGCCTGAGAAATGGATACAATGTTTTAATGATATTGAAATTCTGTTACAGTGAGACTTTCACATTACCCAGACTGGTACCCCAAATTGGAACTTGGATTTGTTTATATTTGAAAAGTTATGGTATCCCAACAATTTGTGCTAGGGGTAAACCACCAAGCGCTGACACTTTGAGTTGAAATTTTGCATTTTAAACTTGGGAAGGTTTTTTTTTTTGTATTTAGCAGCTTACATGTTCTATTTTATATTATAATTCTCATTGCACTCTCTTATTGTATTTCAAATATATAGAGAGAGATTATCACTATCTCTATATGTAAATATGTGCCATGCACACCTTGGGGCTCGCACACAAATGGGACCCATCAGGTGGCCCATGCACTTAGGACCATCCAATGGGAATATGTCTTAAGAGGCCCTGTTGTGCTCTGTGGCTCTCCAGTAGTGCGACCAGACACCTTTGAAGATGGCAGCCAGTGTTGGAAGGAAGTGAGTGTTGGTTACTTCCTTCCAGCTAGCAACCGCATAGGAGAGAGGAGACATAGGGAAGGAAGATTGGATGGGTGAGTCAGACTCTCACTCATAACAGCCCCAGCCAGTAGAGGCCACCATCCTGTATCCAAACAGTAAGAAACAGAAGGGTGGCTTAAAAACGACTAGTATGTAGGTGTTAGTGCACGTTTCTGTGTATACCTGAGTGTGTTTATCTTTGTGTGTGTATTTGTCAGTATGTGTGTCTGTTTATATCAGTGTGCACCTGAGTGTATGTGTGTGTCTATATGTATCTATGTGTAGGTGGCACCTGAGTGTATGTGTATCTGTGTGTATCTGGGGGTGTAATCATGAATCATTGTTTGTGTATCTGTGTGTAACTGTGTCAGTGAGTGTAACTGTGTGTCAGTGTGTGTATCTGTTTGTGTAACTGTGTGTTTGTGTGTGTATTTGTGTGTCTTTGTGCATGTATGTCAGCGTGGGTCTGTTTATCTGTATATGTGTCAGTGTTTGGACATGTATACACTACAAACAAATGCGTGCCTGCATTTAAACACCACCATTCACACACACACTCCATACAAAAACATGCTTACATTCAAAGTGTGCAGACTAGAGGGCAGGCAATGTGGGCTGCTTCAGGGGCGGTTCCTCTGTCCAGACTTGGAATGGGCCCTGGGGGCAGCCCTGATGGCAGATGCCTACTCTCAGGGCCGGTGCAATGATTTCTGGCTACACAGACGAAGATGCATTTTGCCGTCTCCCCCTTCCAAATGCGTCTTCACCAGTGTGTCTTGTACTCCCCTTCTGGATTTCTTACCCCCTTTTAGTGTGTCTTACATACCCTTGTGTGTCTCTTACAAACCCTCTTGTGTGTCTTTTACTTCCTCCAGTCTCCTTGTGTCTCTCTTTCTTCCCCCCGACCCCTTTGTTTGTCTCTTTCTTTCCCTCAGCCATACAGGCACACACAGAGACATACAGGCACAGTTAGAGTCTGTAGTAGGGCACAAGGGCTGCACATGGGGGGATAGAGCCTGTAGTTGGAGGGATGTGTAACAGGGGAGTTAGGGGCTGTAGAAGGGGGAACAGGTGATGTAAAAGGGGCTGTAGAGACAGAGGCTGTAGAGACACAGGGGCTGTTTGGGAGGGGCAAGGGTGGTAGAAGAGGGTTGACAGGGGATGTAGAAGGGGGTTGACAGGGGACATTGAAGGGGGCAGGGGATGTGGAAGGTGGGTACAGGGGCTGTGGTGGGAGGACAGGGGCTGTACTGGGGGCCAGGTGCAGTACGTTGGACAAAGGGACAGTAGAGAGAGACACATGGGCTTTAGTGGGGAGCACAGGGGCTGTAGTGGGGTCAGGGGATGTAGAGGGGCACAGGGGCTGAGACCATCTTATCCTTGGTGGTGATGAGCTGTAGAGGCGGGCACAGGGGCTGTAGAGGGGACTACAGGGACTGAAAGGTGGACAGGGGCTGAGAGGGAGGGCAGGGGCCGTAGAGAAGGGCACAGGAGTTGCAAAGAAGGGCACAGTGACTCTAAAGGGGTGGAAAGGGCAGTGGTGGGAACACAGGGGCTGTAGAAGGGGTGGGCAGAGGCTGGAGAAGGGGGGCAGAGACTGGAAAGGGGCCACTTAAGTTTTTTTTTTTCTCTTTTCTGTCAAAAAGTATTTTAAGTGTATTCCCCCCTCCCTGAGTGTTACCTTGCTCCAGGGAGGGGTAAACCTTATTCCTGGTGGTCAGGTGGGACAGAAGCTGGAGTCTCCAGCCAACACACAGCAGCCAGGGAAGTCAGCCGGTTCCACATTAAAGTGGAATGGTCATTTCTC